GCATTGAAGCAACTGCTATGTGATTGGTTGATTAGATAATTGCATTAATGAGAAATTGAACAGGTGTTCCTAATAATCCTTTAGGTGAGTGTATAGTGGAGGCAAGCCTTGAGCCCATGATGGTAGGGTAACACAGATATCCACACTTAGTCCATGCAGCCATGCATCTCTGTCACTGTTGGTGCCCTTTGTTTGCTGCTGTTCTACTATGGTTGTTCCTGTGTTGCCTCCTGACTTGAGTTTTTGTCCATGTGTCATTTCCTTGTTTGGCCAGCAGGTGGTTATTCTGCCTCTCGTTATTTCCCAGGTTTGTTTTAGTACGTAGTGGTTTCGGCTGCTCTCTGGGCTGCTGTACGGCTGCAGGGCAGGACAGGGACCGATCCTGACACGTCTAGAGAGAGAGCTGCAAAGGTGAGTCTAGCCTCCTGAGTCCCGGGCTTTTGTTTGGTGTGCATGTTTTATTTCTTTTAGCTATTTGGGATTAGTAGGACCTCATAATCATAAAAACCAAACATAATTTTTTTTAACAATTAGTAGTTTTAAACAAAAATGATGTCCTTATATGAGGACATAGGGTCTCAGGAGGCTAGATAACCCATCAGCTTCTGAATGTAATATTCTACCTTTAATTGACAGGTCTCCTAGCAGCCATGAATCCATTTTCAATAACAGGGATAAAGTTTTAATGACACCTAGTGCTTTTTGTTCTTTGATAAGTATTATTCGTAAGTAAGTAATCTGGTCCTTTGGTATTACAGGCAGACGTAACTGCAGACTCTTCAACAGTCATGAGTTCACATTGTCTGATATTTAGGCAGAAACTAAAAGCCATTGTAATGTAAAACGTATAATAGTGATCTTATATTATTTGCAACGTGTCATTTTCTCAGAAAGCCTGATTGTGAACCATCTACAATAGAATACAAACCAACTTTAATTCTGCTAGCAAAACAGATACCAGTACTTCATAATTGTTGTTTAGAAGGATGCTTGGATGCCAGTTTTCCTCTGGTTGTCTTTGTTGGGTTTTGGAATTAGAGTGAAGATACCCAGAGTCATACTAGATGTTTCCTTTTCTACACTTTCCGTAAAAACGTTGAGCAAGAAAGGGGATAAATCTTCAGCAAACAATTTGTAGAATTCACAATTCCATAGCCATCAGGTCCCGGTCTTTCATAAATTTTAAGGTTCTTGATTGATTCCAACACTTCTTTTTAAGAGATATTTATGAACCCTATCGTCTACTGAATTAATCTTATTGTGATCGATGGATTCTTAAAAGGAATCCGCTGTATCCTCACAGTACCTAGACGTAGGCTATATAGACTGCTGCTGCAAAAAAACAAAAACAGAAGGATGCTGGTTCTTTAGAATCTTTAATAACTGTCTTTTCAGTTGATAAATTGTAATATTTGCTGCATTATATCGCTCTAGTCGAAAAAAGAGGCCAAGTTTTGTCCCCCAATCACTAATTCACTTGAAGAAGTGTGCTGATGCAAGAAATAGTTGCAGTTTCGTTTCTTCAGTCTGTAAGACAGAACGACGCTTCTGACTCAATTCACCAAATCAACCTCTGTGGAGGCTTACTGCGCATGTGCGCTGTTTAGCCAAAAAATCCCACGAATATAAAGTTCCGAGCCGTTGAAAATCTGAGAAGACTTGTGTCTTTATTCGAGTGAGAAAAGACGGTTTGTGAACTGCGTTATACCTTGACAAGAGGTAAGTTGCAAATCGCGACGTTTCCCTTTTGAAGATGCGAAATGAAATCCCGTTAATCAGATCTACGATTGGTTTTTGGCAAGTCGAGAAAAAAGTTGGCTAATTTACAAAATTGCAGTGAAAACAGAATTTCCGAGTTAGTGAATGGTTAATTGTGGAA